GGGTATCCACTAAAAATAATCTTTGAAGAAATAATAATAACAATATGGCAAGATAACCCTCTTCATGGACAATACTCTGCTCGTTCCAAACAATCTGATGTAGTCAAACCACTGATACCCATCATTGGTTTACGTAGTGCAGGTTTAGAAGCTGAAACCGAAGGTTTTATTCTTGCTGCACAGGACAAATCCTTGCTAAATAAAAATTACGACGCACACATACTGAAAAATTGTGTTAACCCGAAATGCAGATTTTGTGATAAATATCCAGAAACAATAGACCATCTTGTATCAGGTTGCACGTTGTATAAAACTTGACATGATAGAATGGGCTAATATCTGAACTGAAAAATTTGCAACTTTTACGGGAAGAAAACTACAAGAAACTCATTGAAGGTAAATCTTGGGTAGCACATGCCTTAAAGAAACATAAAAAATTATATTCAAAAGTACGGTTCACACATTACGAAGAGCTTTATCTATGTAAAATGTGTGTGATCTTACTTTTTTTCTGTTTCCTTTTTTTTTTTTTTACAAAAATGATGGGTAGAAAAGGACATGAAATCGTACCTGACTTTATGTCTCTTGTTGGGACCCGGAAGGAAGTGTATATACAACAGAAATAATCAATTTCTTTCTTGTTTTATTTGTCTTAAAGCTTACTCCGTCATCCATTTACTCAAGCTCGCTAAGTTATGCGTTGTTTTCCTTTGTTGCTCTTGCCTTCAATCTTTCCTGTGAGTACCAAACTTTACAAGTTTTCTTTCCTCATTATGTACCCTAAAAATTTCAACTGTCTCTTCTTGATGCTATGTATAAGTTTCCTTTTGGTTTCCATTTTCTCTAAAACTTCTTTGTTTGCTCACATGTTCTGTATTCTTAGCATCCATCCGCAGAGCCACATTTCTGTTGCTTCGAGTCTCTCCTTCATGGGTGAGGAGATTGTCCAGCTATCGCTATCTTATAGGCGGGCTAATATTACTTTACAGTTCAGTATTTTTCTCTGTTTCTACTGATTTTTTTCTGTTTCTTCTTACGTATTAGAAAACGACTAAATTAGACACTTAAATTTGGCCGGATTCTTTCATTTGAAGACTGTAGTCAAAAACATGTTCAATCGTCTAAGGCAGCGTTTCTCAACCTTTTTACCGTTGCGTAACATTCAAAATAAATGACATGTCTCAAGGAACCCCTGCGCAAAATCAAAATTATATACCATATCTTTCTCGTTTTATTTTCATCGTAGTTCACGTGGTAAATATCATAGTATATATTTTTGAATAACTGGTTTAAAGAAAAGTGAATACTTCTTTGTCAAATTTTTCGGTAATGCTAAATAAATTTCATATTGTTCGTTTATAATATTTCATCAGGAAGTTTTCGTTCACAGAAAAATATTCTAAACATAAAAAATAAACATAAGTAAACAATATCATATACCTATAATATAAATGTAAACAGAACGAAAACAGATGATTGCTGCATCAATTTTTTTTTTATTTCTGTAAAAATAACGTAAAAAACAAAGAAATAAGTAACTTATACAGGTCTCATTCGCTGAGTGGACACTGACTAGTGAATGTGGTTTCACAATGACGTCGTACAAACATCACTAAATATATTCCCAATGATTCTTATACTTTTATAATAGCATAATAGTTTAGATAGGATGATGTTTATATTACAATATTACAATAACCAAGAATATAATATATTTTAGTATTACGTATAATGAAATTAAATAGTCAACAGTGCATTAGATTATCTCACCTGTTCTCGCGGAACCCTTGGGGCCCTTTTGCAGAACCTTAGAGTTCCGAGGAACACAGGTTTAGAAACGCTGGTCTAAGGTAACAAATATTCACGTCTCTGTCTGCTTTAGTCTATATCTTCGTATTCTGGTATCTTTTTGTCTTTATATAATATTCAGCACTAAGTGCATTCGCTACTGCTTCAACAACAGTCATTATTAAACTGAAAATATAACCAAAGTGTTATCGCAGACATCCTCAGACAATAATCTTACAGTCTCCTGCTATCTAATGCTACGCAAAGGTGTTAGATTGCCTCCTAAGGTGTAAACAATCTGTAATATGCACGAAATACTGTTAAACGACCATTTTAGTACTAGGAGACCTTTTATCATAAAACAAGAAGTATATAAAAACACTTCGACAGTTTTAGTTTATTGATCATAACGTGAGAATTATGTTATTCATCTATATACATGTAGTTACAGTTTTTGTATAGTGCGTCTTCACTCTTTTTATTCCCTGTGGATTACAGTTTTGGTTCTGAAACAGACCACATCTCAAGTAGTAAAAATTCACCTCGCGTTAATAGTTTCACAGTGTCGGATGACAGTGTAAGTGTTACCTGAAATAAGTTTGAAGGCGTTATAATCCCGGCATTTGTCTGATACAATGATGGAAAAACATATATCAATGTTGCGTTTGCGCTTTTTTTTTCTTTTAATTTCAGAACCATAATTTATTCCGTTCTTGAAAATGATCAATGATGGTTTAAACTGCCCAAGTATATATCTAATGACAATTTCTACAATCAGTAGAACAATAATATATTCCGTTCTTGAAAATCAGCGATGGTGATTTTAACTGTCCGAACATATAAATAAGACAATTTCTACACTCAGTGGAACCATAATATATTCCGTTGTTGAAAATGACCAATGATGGTTTAAAATGCTCACACATATATCTAAAGACAATTGCTACACTCAATAGAAAAATAATATATACTTTTCTTGAACATGACCGATAATGTTTCTAAATGCTCGAATATATATATATATATATATATAAAGACCATTTCTACACTCAATGAAACCAAGCAGTTATTACCTTGTCGAAAAAGAGAAAATTATGAGAATATGAAAATCAATTTCATGAACGTGTATAAATGAAAAATATAATATAATATATTGTAAAATATACATTACTGACCGTTCCACACTCTGCAGATAAACAGGAATAAAACGCTATAAAATTCCAAAGAAAACAGCAGAACGCCAAATAATAAAGAAATGAATAGCTACTGTATTTCTGGTAAAATCCTTGTGTAAATTCTACAAGATAACTAGTTGCAAAGGTTCGAGGCTAGTGTGGGTGTAGAGTGAACCTTGGCGAAACGAACATGGTCTTCGTTCTAAATGAAAAAAAAATGTGTGATAAGTTGAGCGATGTTCTTCTGGGAAACAGTGAGTTTTATTTTTAATGTAGTAAAGTATTTTGTCACGCATTGGAGACTAGGCACACATTTTCATGGCAAGTGTAAGCAGGACAATGCCCCTTGTCACACTGCAAAGGTTGTGCAGGGATGATTTCAGAGACATGAAAATATTTCATTTGGTTGCCCTGGCTACAAAACTCTCTAAGTCTCAATCCCAATATTCATTTTGAACTTGTTTCCTGTTAAGGATTGGGTTTCCGGTTCCTTCTAAAGTCTACTTCAACTCTATATTTCTAACGTCTCTATCTGAATTCTGAAATGATATTTACTATTTTTTATTTCTCTCCTCAATTGGAATAGATAGGTTCGATTATCGGCCGGTTCACACTCCTCTCTGGTCTTTTGAATAAGGATAGATGTTTATATCTTGTTCCCTGTTTTGGGTCGGGTTTCTGGTTCCTTCTAAAATCGTTTCATTCTTTTTCACACTTAGAAGCTCCCTTGTGTCTTAGTGGTATTATCGCCTTGCTTGGGGTGAATTGATTAAAAGAAAAAATAAAAGATATGTTTGGCTAACAACTTGACTGCTGAAGCTCAACTGCATATTTTAAAGCAGTTACAAGACTCGCTGTTAAAACTCCAGTATCAGATCTCAGAGCAAACGATTAAAGGTTTTGCAGAATCTATATTTGATTGGGCAATAGCGGCTTTGCTGTCTCATATATGGCCAACACCTTAATAGGCAAGTGGTCATGTCTTGACATATCAATGCATATAAACATAAATGCTGCACGTGTAGGTAGGACTGTATGTGTACCTCTGAGATTTTATTGATTCATTTGTTTTTAACAAGAATAAAACTAAAACCTGAAAAAGAAACTTGTGCCTAACTTTGAATTCTACTCATATACAAAATCATTTTCTTTGTTTGGCTACCTCGTTTCAGTGTGACTTTTATTTTTTTATTATTTAAATGACTTTTTGCAGAATGAAATACAAGCACGCCCAGAAAGATAAAACAAGACTTCGTTTCAAAATATAGAAAAGTACTCCTCAAATTTTCCTGTTAGTTTTACTTTTAATTTGCCTTATTTATAGGGGACAATAGCCTAGTCGATCAAAGCGTTGGCTCTTGGATTTGGTGATGTATTAACTGGGATTTCAATTCCTAGGCCGGTAGTACAGACATAGACTCAGTTGGCCAATAACCGGACGGTACTAAATAAGAACAAGATAAGTTACCCCTAGACATGAAGAGAGAAAACGAGATGATCTTCACCCTTAGATTAAATAAATGTTCAGTTATTCTCCCCCGAGCCATAGGTAAATAGCTGGACATACCGGGTTCTATATAGCCTTCAATGGAAACTGGTCTACTGCAGAAAGAAATGGCAACATATTGCGGGAAAAAATCTGCTTCGTCTGTCATGTATCGAAAGATACACGATCGGCTAAGCGTGTATCATGCATGGCACATAACTAACTGGATATCTGATTTGGCTGTATATTGAGGGGAAAGATTATCATCTCTTTACTTCAAATATGCAGTTCAATATGTCGAAACGGATTTTCTTCAGATTATCTTTGAAGTTTTTCACTTCTTTTAATTGTGATTTTTGCTATAAGGAATAATTAACTTTGAGAGCTTTGGTTAGGTGGTACTTATCTCATTCGGAATTCTCTTTTGAGGTTAGGTCGTTCTTAACTCTTTCGGGATTCTCTTTTGAGCCTAGTTGGTTCTTATCTCTTTCGGGATTCCATTTTGAGCCTAGTTGGTTCTTATCTCTTTCAGGATTCTCTTTTGAGCCTAGTTGGTTCTTATCTCTTCAGGGAATCTCTTTTTTAGGTTAGGTCGTCCTTATCTCTTCCGGGATTCTCTTTTGAGGTTAGGTCGTTCTTATCTCTTCCGGGATTCTCTTTTGAGGTTAGGTCGTTCTAATCTCTTTCGGGATTCTCTTTTGAGGATAGGTCGTTCTTATCTCTTTCGGGATTTTCTTTTTTGAGGTTAGGTCGTTCTAATCTCTTTCGGGATTCTCTTTTGAGGATAGGTCGTTCTTATCTCTTTCGGGATTTTCTTTTTTGAGGTTAGGTCGTTCTTATCTCTTTCGGGATTCTCTTTTGAGCCTAGTTGGTTCTTATCTCTTTCGGGATTTCATTTTGAGCCTAGTTGGTTCTGATCTCTTCCGGGATTCTCTTTTGAGCCTAGTTGGTTCTTATCTCTTTCGGGATTCCCTTTTGAGGTTAGGTCGTTCTTATCTCTTTCGGGATTCTCTTTTTTGAGGTTAGGTCGTTCTTATCTCTTCCGGGATTCTCTTTTTTGAGGTTAGGTCGTTCTTATCTCTTCCGGGATTCTCTTTTGAGCCTAGTTGGTTCTTCTCTCTTTCGGGATTCTCTTTTGAGCCTAGTTGGTTCTTATCACTTTCGGGATTCCATTTTGAGCCTAGTTGGTTCTTATCTCTTTCAGGATTCTCTTTTGAGCCTAGTTGGTTTTTATCTCTTCCGGGATTCTCTTTTGAGGTTAGGTCGTTCTTATCTCTTTCGGGATTCTCTTTTTTTGGACTAGTTGGTTCTTATCTCTTTCGGGATTTTCTTTTGAGGTTAGGTCGTTTTTATATCTTTCGGGATTCTCTTTTGAGCCTAGTTGGTTCTTATCTCTTCCGGGATTCTCTTTTGAGGTTAGGTCGTTTTTATCTCTTCCGGGATTCTCTTTTGAGCCTAGTTGGTTCTTATCACTTTCGGGATTCTCTTTTGAGGTTAGGTCGTTCTTACCTTTTTCGGGATTGTCTTTTGAGCCTAGTTGGTTCTTATCTCTTTCGGGATTCCCTTTTGAGGTTAGGTCGTTCTTATCTCTTTCGGGATTCTCTTTTGAGCCTAGTTGGTTCTTATCTCTTTCGGGATTCTCTTTTGAGCCTAGTTGGTTCTTATCTCTTTCAGGATTCTCTTTTGAGGTTAGGTCGTTCTTATCACTTTCGGGATTCCATTTTGAGCCTAGTTGGTTCTTATCTCTCTCGAGATTCCCTTTTGAGGTTAGGTCGTTCTTATCTCATTCGGGATTCTCTTTTGAGCCTAATTGGTTCTTATCACTTTCGGGATTCTCTTTTGAGGTTAGGTCGTTCTTATCTCTTTCGGGATTCTCTTTTGAGCCTAGTTGGTTCTTATCTCTTTCGGGATTCTCTTTTGATGTTAGGTCGTTTTTATCTCTTTCGGGATTCTCTTTTGAGCCTAGTTGGTTCTTATCTCTTCCGGGATTCTCTTTTGAGGTTAGGTCGTTTTTATCTCTATCGGGATTCTCTTTTGAGCCTAGTTGGTTCTTATCTCTTTCGGGATTCTCTTTTGAGGTTAGGTCGTTTTTATCTCTTTCGGGATTCTCTTTTGAGCCTAGTTGGTTCTTATCTCTTTCGGGATTCTCTTTTGAGGTTAGGTCGTTTTTATCTCTTTCAGGATTCTCTTTTGAGCCTAGTTGGTTCTTATCTCTTTCTGGATTCTCTTTTGAGGTTAGGTCGTTCTTACCTTTTTCGGGATTCTCTTTTGAGCCTAGTTGGTTCTTATCTCTTTCGGGATTCCCTTTTGAGGTTAGGTCGTTCTTATCTCTTTCGGGATTCTCTTTTTTGAGGTTAGGTCGTTCTTATCTCTTCCGGGATTCTCTTTTGAGCATAGTTGGTTCTTCTCTCTTTCAGGATTCTCTTTTGAGCCTAGTTGGTTTTTATCTCTTCCGGGATTCTCTTTTGAGGTTAGGTCGTTCTTATCTCTTTCGGGATCCTCTTTTAGGACTAGTTGATTCTTATTTCTTTCGGGATTTTCTTTTAAGGTTAGGTCGTTTTTATCTCTTTCGGGATTCTCTTTTGAGCCTAGTTGGTTCTTATCTCTTCAGGATTCTCTTTTGAGGTTAGGTCGTTTTATCTCTTCCGGGATTCTCTTTTTGAGCCTTTGGTTCTTATCACTTTCGGGATTCTCTTTTGAGGTTAGGTCGTTCTTATCTCTTCCGGGATTCTCTTTTGGACCTAGTTGGTTCTTATCTCTTTCGGGATTCTATTTTGAGGTTAGGTCGTTTTTATCTCTTTCGGGATTCTCTTTTGAGCCTTGTTGGTTCTTATCTCTTCCGGGATTCTCTTTTGAGGTTAGGTCGTTTTTATCTCTTCCGGGATTCTCTTTTGAGCCTAGTTGGTTCTTATCACTTTCGGGATTCTCTTTTGAGGTTAGGTCGTTCTTATCTCTATCGGGATTCTCTTTTGAGCCTAGTTGGTTCTTATCTCTTTCGGGATTCTATTTTGAGGTTAGGTCGTTTTTATCTCTTTCGGGATTCTCTTTTGAGCCTAGTTGGTTCTTATCTCTTCCGGGATTCTCTTTTGAGGTTAGGTCGTTTTTATCTCTTCCGGGATTCTCTTTTGAGCCTAGTTGGTTCTTATCTCTTTCGGGATTCTCTTTTGAGGTTAGGTCGTTTTTATCTCTTTCAGGATACTCTTTTGAGCCTAGTTGGTTCTTATCTCTTTCGGGATTCTCTTTTGGGACTAGTTGGTTCTTATCTCTTCTGGGATTCTCTTTTGAGATTAGGTCGTTTTTATCACTTTCAGGATTCTCTTTTGAGCGTAGTTGGTTCTTATCTCTTTCGGGATTCTCTTTTGGGACTAGTTGGTTCTTATCTCTTCCGAGATTCTCTTTTGAGGTTAGGTCGTTTTTATCTCTTCCCGGAATTCTCTTTTGAGCCTAGTTGGTTCTTATCTCTTTCGGGATTCTCTTTTGAGGTTAGGTCGTTCTTACCTTTTTCGGGATTGTCTTTTGAGCCTAGTTGGTTTTTATCCCTTTCGGGATTCCCTTTTGAGGTTAGGTCGTTCTTATCTCTTTCGGCATTCTCTTTTGAGCCTAGTTGGTTCTTATCTCTTTCGGGATTCTCTTTTGAGCCTAGTTGGTTCTTATCTCTTTCGGGATTCTCTTTTGAGGTTAAGTCGTTCTTATCTCTTTCGGGATTCCGTTTTGAGCCTAGTTGGTTCTTATCTCTCTCGAGATTCCCTTTTGAGGTTAGGTCGTTCTTATCTCTTTCGGGATTCTCTTTTGAACCTAGTTGGTTCTTATCACTTTCGGGATTCTCTTTTGAGGTTAGGTCGTTCTTATCTCTTTCGGGATTCTCTTTTGAGCCTAGTTGGTTCTTATCTCTTTCGGGATTCTCTTTTGAGGTTAGGTCGTTCTTATCTCTTTCGGGATTCCATTTTGAACCTAGTTGGTTCTTATCACTTTCGGGATTCTCTTTTGAGGTTAGGTCGTTCTTATCTCTTTCGGGATTCTCTTTTGAGCCTAGTTGGTTCTTATCTCTTTCGAGATTCCCTTTTGAGGTTAGGTCGTTCTTATCTCTTTCGGGATTCTCTTTTGAGGTTAGGTCGTTTTTATCTCTTTCGAGATTCTCTTTTGAACCTAGTTGGTTCTTATCTCTTTTGGGATTCCCTTTTGAGGTTAGGTCGTTTTTATCTCTTTCGGGATTCTCTTTTGAGCCTAGTTGGTTCTTATCTCTTTCGGGATTCTCTTTTGAGGTTAGGTCGTTCTTATCTCTTTCGGGATTCTCTTTTGAACCTAGTTGGTTCTTATCTCTTTCGGGATTCTCTTTTGAGGTTAGGTCGTTCTTATCTCTTTCGGGATTTCATTTTGAGCCTAGTTGCTTCTTATCTCTTTCGGGATTCTCTTTTGTGCTTAGATTGTAGTTATCTCTTTCAGGATTCTTTTTTTAAAATTTGGTGGCACTCATTTTTTTCGAGATTCTATTTTGAGGTTAGGTATTTTTTTATCACTTTCAGGATTCTATTTTGAGGTTAGGTGGTACTTATCTCTATCAGTATTTTCTTTTGAGATCGTGGTAATTATATCTTTCAGAATTCTGTTTTGAGGTTATTAACGATGGATTTATTTATTTACGGATTATCAACCTTTTACAGATTATTTAAAGCCTGAAAAAAGTTCATATTGTAATAATTCTTTGAAGATAGAATTGATTTACTAATGCAAATTCTACTAATTAACCCATATCTGAAAGAGAAGCGGTTGCTCGATACCTTTGTCAAGAGTATTTGCGTGTAATATAATGAACCCAATTGAAATTGGAAAGCAGATTTTCGATTTCCAATTCCGAGTCGTTATCCTTACACCATCCTCACATCTAAAGTTGCAGCACTAATTATCTAATTACTGGCCAGGCTCGACGTTGCTTTAGCAATGGAGCGATATTCAATAGAGAGGCAAGGTCGGATTGGAAATTTTACTATCTTTGTTTGCAGGATTTGGGCTTAGTAGGTGATTTTCGGTGTCGGGAGAGGGGCTATTAGAAACATGTTTTGCTCGTTTTATTTTGTTTCATGTTTTGTGGTTTTGTGTTTTTCGGCGGCCTCTGTTTTGTGAGGATTAGCAATGAATGTGGTTCCGCTTCCCCCCACCTCCAGTCTTGTTTTCATTTCTCTTCGGAATGTTGGCCAGGCGTCCGGTCCTCGTTTGAGTAGCCTCTCAATGAGTGCTTTCTATCTATCCGGTTGACCGGCATTAGTTGCAGTTAATGACCTTTGCACAACACTTAAGTATGACATATTTCTCGATTCTCCCATCCTTCGTGTCTTTCGGAATGGTACGTTTCTTCTGTATTTCACCGTCGTTGTTTCCCTTTCTTATTCCAGATTCACCATATTTTATGGGTGATCTCTGTAACAGTGTAATCAATTGCTATGTTTTGTTTTAGTTTGGTTTGTTTTGTTTTATCAACCTCAAAGGGTTATTTTATGCAAATGTTTTTAGTTGCAATGTGAATTTTTTAAAAAATATTATGCCTTATTTTCCATATTTAAAAAAAAATCACATTACAACCAAAAACGTTTGCGGTATCTCTCTCCTTTTTAATATATAAAGTGTTCTTTTTAACAAAATCACTTTCTAAATCAAATTTCTTTAACACTTTTGTATAGAGGGCTTCTGTCAAGAGACAATTACATTAATGGTATTATTCTTTCCTTTAATAAAGCACTGCGGGCTGGTAATTTCTTTTTCTTTTTTTTTTTTTTCAGAAAATGTATTGCTTGTAATAATTTTTTCCAAAATGTATTGCTGGTAATATTTTTCAAAGAAAGTATTGCTGGTATTAAAACCTATTTTTCTATTCTCATAGTGTTTTGACTCCTTGTTAAATATGCTACCACTCCGGGTCAGGGCGGACCTGGGAACGCCTGCAATTAAGAGATGGTTCTATGCTCCTCAAAATCTCCTGATAAAAGTCCTTGCTGTTGGATGTAGTTTATCGTCTTACCCAGGACACGGATATAGTTTATCTTCTTACCCAGGTAGAGGATGTTGTTTATCGTCTTACCCAGGACGCGGATGTAGTTTATAGTCTTACCACAGACGCTTCACCTTGGTTGTTTTATACATGTGGTTACATGATGTATGTGTCTCTGGTATTTGTCGCATCTTATAGGGACAGGTATGTATTGCATCATTTTATTCGATGGCGTAACGAATTTTATTTTATTTACGTAGTCGCAGGATGCATGTTTATGAATTAGTTTGTCTTCTTTTAAAATTTATTCTTCTAAGCGTACTACGAGATTGACATTTAGGTCTCTCAGTTTAATTGCTGAGCTAGCTAGATGCAACCGTCTGTCCTATTGTCATAGTTTATTTTCTCGCACTTCTCCACTGTGGAACTCCCTTCCGATTTCTTGCCCCACTTCCACCTACAATCTACCTTTGCGTCCTATTGGCATTATTGCCTTGGTTGGGATTAAATGATTGAAAGAAAAAATATCTATAATAACGCCTGGATTTTTGATCCGTTTTCATCACGTTCGCTGAGTGAAGTGATAGTTGAGGACTTCTAACTACACCTTTGCTTGTATTTAGTGTTAGGTCAGGATATAGTTTTATAACTATTTTGTGAAGTGTACCTATTCGCAAAAATGTCTCCTCTTGCTTCTATTTTCCACTTCGACCAAAGATTCCTGGGTTTCGTATTTTTTTTACAGCTTTGGGGTCAACTTTTTCAATCATGAATTACGAGAATCTTCACACATCGATTCTAGCACCATAAATTCTGGGAACTCAGATGAGTTCTGCTCCTTTTCCCTATACGAATCAATGACATACGATTGCATGAAAAAGAAACAAAAACTTCTTTGGACTTAATTGATATATTTAACTAAGATAATATTTCCTAACATAGATGAAATAATTCTATCCATTTGGGAAATTCTTGATCCCTCGAATGTGAAATTTTCATATTTCCATGCAAAAATACACTCAATATCACTTTTAATTTTTTCGCAGTTAATAAATTGTTTTCCCTTAAATAAAAAAAATAAAAATAAAACTTGCAATGATCTGAAAAGATGATAGTCAGATGGAGTCAAGTCAAGAGACTGAGAAGGATGAAGGAAAAGGTCCATATTTACTGCCATAATCTTTTCATGAGTGATTCGGGAAAATATACATTATCATGTGAGAGCAAAACACCTTTACGCTTAATCAATGAGCGTTTTTTTCTGAAAATGTTTGTGCTATTCTTCCAATTGATGAAAATACTTCTCCGCATTAACTGTTTCGTTTTTTTGGTTGAGCACTTCATCATAAACGACGTCTTTCATCCCACCAAACACAGAACATAACTGAAGATTCGGTAGCAAGTTTACTCTTCAATAATGAATACAGAGCAATTCTTTGATGAAGTTGAGAAGTCTTGTAATGATGGAAGACCTATTGACCATGTTTAGACATTTTTCCAAGTTCATGAATGTGTTTTATAACTAAAGTGTAATTGCTTAGGATTTTTCCCGCCTACAGTTTACAACATTGACAGAATTTGGTTGTGCAGTTCGAGTGGTGTTGAGAGAAAATCGTAACAGGCTAAACAGTTGACCTGTCCACAGACAGAACGAATATTTCTTTCTGCTTTCGTTGCTAAAGGGCTCATTCTGGATTTATAGAGCATAAAGTCTTTGGTATGAGTTTGGTCTAAACTCATTTTCAAAGGGTAAAATCGACACAAAATTTATCCACTATGATATTGAGAAATATGTAAGCAAAGAAACTATTAGGACATCAGAATTAATGACTATTTCATATTAAGTACAGCATCTTAAGTACTGTAAAATGTAACTTGAAAGAGACTATACCATACAGGGTGTCCATAAAGTTCGTATGCACTTTAAAAAATTTATAACTTTATTTGTATTTGCGATAGAAATAATTTGTAAAAAGGATTAGAAAGAAGTAAATCTATATTTTTTAAGGTTTTATTGAAATTTTATTTAAGTTTCCACGTGTCCTCCATCATTAGCAATACAAAGGGTAATACGATTTTTCAGTTCACGGAAAACATTTGCCAACTGATTTACAGTAATACCTGAAATCACATTAGTTATTTTAGCTTTCAAATCTTCTAATGAACTAGGTTTGGTTGCATACACAATTATTTTCACATGTCCCCATAAAAAAAATCTAATGGAGTCAAATCTGGCGAACGTGGAGGCCAATAAAATGGTCCATCTTTTCCAATCCATCTGTTAGGAAATTCCTGATTTAGAAACTCCCTAACACACAGAACAAAGTGACAAGGTGCTCCATCTTTTTGTTAAACGCTGCATTATCTTTCATGTTTAATTGTTCAAGGTGCAGAATAAAGTAATTCTGCAGAATATCTAAATATCTGTCACTGTTAATAACAGGATATTGAAAACAATATGGCCCTATGATCCGATTTTTCCCAAAGCACACCACACATTAACTTTAAGAGAGTCCCTTTCATGTTCAACAGTTTCATTTGAGTTTTCAGTTCCCCAAATTCGGCAGTTATGCCTGTTGACCTTGCCACTAATGTGAAAAGTTTCTTCGTCAAAGAACAGTGAGCTACTCACAAATGCATCATCATTGCCAAATTTTTTATTGAACTGATGACAGAAGGTTAGCCGTGCATAATAATCCTCTTCTAACAACTGTTGATATAATTGAATTTTGTAAGCTTTCATGTGAAGTTTTGCCTGCAGAATCTTATGCCCACTAGACTTTGGGAGCCTGAACTCTAATGATGCACGTCTTACAGACTTTCTTGGACTTTCTGTAAAGGATTTTTCTATAGATGCAACACTTTCGTCGCTGATACATGGCCTTCCAGACCGTGGCTTATCATGGACGGAGCCAGTCTCTTTAATTTTTTCATCCATTTAGCAATAGTGTTCCTATGAGGTGGTTTTTTATTGTATCCAATTCTAAACTTTTTTGTACAGCAATGGCAGATTTCAGTTCAGCCAAACAAAGGGCACAGTTTACTTTTTCCTCAGTTGAAGCCATGGATCAAATTGATTCTAGAAAAAAGAAAATATTTTTTTACTTATCTAAAAATCGTTGCAAGTTTTGTGGTAAAAAATTATTCAATAACTATACTTAAAACTAGGTACATTAAACTTTATAAATTGTTTTACAGATTATTTCTATCGCAAATACAAATAAAGTTATAAATTTTTTAAAGTGCACACGAACTTTATGGACACCCTGTATATGTGACAGGAATTTATTTCCGAATTAATAGAAAGATAGATCGATAACTGTTACCCCAATGTCGCAAGACATCATTGTAAATCTCATAGTTCTATAAACAGGAGGAAATTTTAGAACATTCTGCACAAAATTGGCAGACGTGAGAAACGTGCATTTTGTTGTCAGTAGGTTTATTTTTTATAAATATATGCGTGTTTTTTCAGCACACCACTTAAACACTTTTCTGTGAGATAAATTGTCAGTATTTAATGTCATTTCGTAATTGTTCGATACTCAGATACGATAACTTTGTAACTTTGCTATCTTTGTTTGCAGGATTTGGACTTAGTGGGTGATTGTGGGTGTCGTAAGAGAGACTGTTGGAAACATTGTTTTATTTTCTTTGATGGTTTGTGGTTTTGTGTTTATCGGTGGGCTCGGTTTTATGGGGATTAGCAGTGAATGTGGTCTTGTTTTTATTTATCTTGGCAACGTTTCCTGCTTTCGCATATGACTAAATTTCTCTGATTTAGTCAAGCAAAACCTACTACAAACATCAGGTGAGGTCCTGCCTGTCACCTCCATGGTCTGCAAGTTCCACAGAATGACCATTTCTGACGCTTCTTTAAAGAATTTCCCTTGCTATATACGAGATCTCACGAAAACAAACCTTTCCATCATTGACCTGATAGATAGATAGATAGATAGATAGATAGATAGATAGATAGATAGATAGATAGATAGATAGATAGATTTGTTTTGCATATTTTATGTGTATGCGAATGTACTGATGACTTGAGAAATTAAAATCATAGACAGAGTAACTCTCCTAGCCTTTAAAAACATGAAGTTAATCTCTAGACGTTCATCGAATACCTGAGCCGAAATAAACACGCCAACATTTAAGCCTCCAAGCTGATGCATCACAATGTCACGTTGGACCATACACGGGTGATGCCTAAAAGCGAAACGCCATAAAAACCACATGCTTAAATCACGCTTAAATCTGCCATTACAAA